CCCTAGCGGAAACTCCTGCTGTTGTGCTGTTTTGTAAGGCTATGGCCAGTTGTTCTTCCTCCTGATCCTCCAGGGCACACTTCTACCCAAAGCCTGCCCTGACAGAGCCAGGGACAGATAAGGTGGTCTAGAAGATGCCCTGGAGACGCAAGGCTTTAGGGAGAACAGAACAGCTATAGAGCAGCCTCAAGTTCCTTTCATAGCCCCAGAATTGAGACCAGCAGTGGGCTTCTGCAGAACTCAATATTAGACATAATTCCCCATCTCTACCCCCAGGGGTTCTAATTTCACAGAGCTAGAATGGAACCAGAAATTAAAAATACTGAGCAGGGCTGGAATGATAGTCTGGTGGGCAGAGCACTTGCCTTCCATGAGATCAACCCGAATCCTATCCCTGGCATCCCATATGGTTCCCTGAGCCCTGTCAGGGCTAATTCCTAAGTGAGCACCAGGAGTAGCCCCTGAGCATAATTAAGTGTGCCTTCCCATTCCCCCCCCCCCCAAAAAAAAATACCACACAGGTGAGTATCCTGCAAGTTGCAAGACATCAAGCCATAGCTATTTTCACTCATAAATGCTTTGAAAATAATTATGGTTTCCCACCACCAAAGAGATAACAAAGCCTCAATACTTAAATCTGGGCTTCGATACTGAATAAAAGATGAAAAAGATTAGTAGTTTTTCTTTCTCCATATAAGTCACCTAACCCAACCAACTCTTCTGGGGGAGTGGGAAGATGGGAGCAGTTTGTGCCACAGGTGCTTGGGGGCTACACACAGCTCTGTTCTTGGGGGCCAGGGATTAAACCAGGATCAGCCCCATACAAGGCAAGAAGTTGAACCTCTATGCTATCTCTCTGCCCTAAACTCTTCTTAAAACCAAATATGAAAGTCTCAGAGGACATTCATATAATCTCCTTCCAGGACGAAAACTGGAGGAAAAGTCAGACAGAGAGAGATAAGGAACTGGTTTTGTGTTCATAAACACCAAGTATTAGAACAAGGCTGCATGTCACCTCGCCCACTGTTTCCAGAAAGGAAGACACATAGGGCCAGGGAGAACACAGGGGGTCGGGAGCTTGTCTTATACATGCGACCAATCCGGATTAGATCCCCTGCATCCTATATGGTCCTCCAAACCCCACTAGGAGTAATTCCTGAGTGCAGAACTAGAATAAGCCCTGAGCACCGACCCTGTAGCCCCCAAACAAAACAAAACAAAACCCCCAAAACAAAAGGCAAGACATATAATCCAGACTGGAGCAATGCTATTGGAGAGGGAAACTTCAAACTCTCCCTCAAATTCTAACAACCCTCCGGCACAGGCCATCCTCACTTAAACCTTGCTTGCTCGGCTTCAGTCCACTTCTGTCCTTTGTTAAAATTGAAAAACAGCCCAGTTCCCTCCGCATAAAAATCTTTCAGAAACTTTCAGAGGGGGAGGGACAGCGTCCAAGAGCACACATGCATTTGCTTCTTAAGGAAAACACTGCCATGATTGAGAAGCAGAACTGACAATTGTGCAAGATATGAAGTCGAAGCAAGTTTACAACTGATAACTCTGAGTTGCACGTCAAGACTTGGCAGATCTGGCATACAACCTCCAATTATTCTTCTCCAACTCTATCACACCACAGAGATTTCCCTCCCTTGGAGAAAATTTAATAAAAATTCCAGCTCAAGACTACTCTCCACTAACTGAAATCCCATCTCTACTGGCCGCCTGTCTTCAGCTTTTAACCATATTTCAAACATATGGTTGAACAGGTCTCTTCTGAATTAAAAGGCTTTTAATTGGCACTTTATGCATCTATGGATTCTCCCTTCTCTCTAAAGCCCTTTGCACTTTAACAGGTTGCATTACTTACTTCTCTTTTTCCCTTTTATTAGCTCTAATTGTGATTACTTTTCTCAAGAGGTCACAAACATCCTAATCATTTCTTACTCTTCTGGAATTGTTAAGTTTTACCCCAACTTCATTTATTATCTTTGAATTGTTCACATTCATGCATTCATTAAGTGTTTATTTTACTTAGGAAGCAATGTGGTATAAAGCAAGTAAAGAAAATTACCCCTGGGCCAGAGCTATAGTGGGTAGAGTAATTGCCTTGGGTGACCTGGGCTTGATCCACAGCACCCCAAGCCCCGCCAGGAATGATCCCCAAGCATAGAGCCAGGAGCAAGTACTGAGCAATGTTGAGTGTGACCACCCCCCAAAATAAACAAAAAATTACCCCTGACTTTAGGAAAGGAAGCGTACATAAAAGAACAACTAGAGACTGACAAATTAGTAGGGCTAGAGTGGCAACTGTGGCTCCAGTAAAGCCAGGGCTGGACCGACAAATGAGTAGGAAACTGGGTGAAAAGGCTACTTTAGATAGGAAAAACTCAGTGATTCAAAGCTGCAGGTCATCTCAGGTTAAGAGTTACCTATAGGCCCTCTGGCACTTCCCTCTTTGAACCCCGGAAAAGAGGCACATATCTTTTGCTGTTCAGATTTTATTACACGAATCATAAGCTTTCTGACTGTTCAGGTGTATCCACTGCCAACCAAACCTAGCAGCAGCGCACAGTCCTTCCCACACCCTATACGGCACCTTTTCCAGAACCACCATAGAGGACATTTGGGGATCCAGACCCATGAAGGGCCTAGCCACAGTTACTTCTTTGGGTGCTACAGCAATGCACCAGCACTCTTGCCCTGTCAGACTCCTCAAGAACCATTCAACTTCAGCGAAGTATGTCCTTCACTCACAGCTCTAGAACAAACAAAACCAATGAAAGTCGTCTGAAGCACCCAATACTGACTTGGGAACAGGGATGTATTATTATCAGCAATGCCCTGGCCCATGGTTTTCCTAGAGTCTCTCCCCTCCCTCAGGACTCACAATTAATGCATCCCTTCCTCAAAGTTTTCCTCACAGTACGTAGGGAGCTTGTGGTACATGTACACAACCCAGGCTAGAGGCCCAGCACCCCATAAGGTCCCCTGAGCCAGTGATCCCTGAGTTCAGAGACAGGTGTGCCCCCCTCCCCAAAAAACAAAAGTTTTCCCCAACTCCCCTAAAGTCCCTTCCCTCTGCCTCCAATGACACCTTCTTGCATACAGATCGGTCTAGGACAGCATTTAACCACGTTGCAATGATTTGTTTACATGTGATTAGCTGCAAGCTCAGTGGCAGTGAGAATACTACACTGGTCAACACTGATTCCACATAAATTAGGCACAGGCACACAACAAACATCTGCTGAATATGTCAATGACCTGGGAAGTTTAAAGAATGGCACCCATACCTTGTGGATTTCAGACCACAATGACTATTAATACCAAAGACTAAATTCCCACCATAGATTTCTACCAGGAAGCAAATGGTAGAAAAAGATTGCTATATTTTATTGCTGATCTGTACCAATTTTTACCAGTCAAGAAACTGAGCAAGAGCCCCTCAGGGCTCGCCCCCCCCCCCCCCAACCCCGCCTCCAACTCTCAGAGAACCCTGCAGGCTACTGAGAGTATCCTGCTCGCACAGCAGAGTCTGGCAAGCTCCCCATGGCGTATTCAATATGCCAAAACCCAGTAACAATGATGGGTCTCATTCCCCTGACCCTGAAAGAGCCTCCAATGTGGCACTTGCTAAAATCTCAGGACTAGGACGAAAGGAAACGTTACTGGTGCCTGCTCAAGGAAATGGATGAACAAGATGGCAGTGACAGTGAAGAAACTGAGCACTCACCATACTAAAAATGATGCAACACAAAAATAACTGTCAAATAAAGACAGTTTCTAAAATTCAAGTTCATTCTCCTGTTCAATGAATAGGAAGAAGGATTAGTAAGATTCCCTGGAAGGGTCATTCTGTCCATGCCAGGGAATCTTGTAGTCAATTCTGATTCAATATCTCTGCTCGGGGAAGTTGTCCATCTCTTGACCAAACCCAAAGAAGCGTGTCTACTAAGGGATGGATCTGAACTGGGAGATCAACAGCCTGCCCTGTGGGATGTTAGCATTCTGAATCATTCCTCCCTGGCTTTGCTGATCTCTGGAGAGATACAGGCAAAGCAATAAAACTTTAATGTCCCAATCGCCTCTCCCCCTGGCAATCCTGTACCACATAAGACTACCGTGTTTACAGGCTGCTCATAGAATACAGAGTCGAATCTGATCCTAAGGGAACAAAATCTCAGATCACCTGAGGGATTAAATAAATTTAGTCTGCTTCTGTATTCCCAAAATTGTCTGGTTCAAAAGAGTTGAAGAAAGCTTCAAGTCCAACACCCAAACAAGTGAGGAAATGGAAAGCACCTTGCCCTAGGGGTGGGGGGTGGGGTGGAGCTTCCACTACAGGGTGAGATGTGACCCTAGGGAAAGTGATGAGAAGAAATAATGCTCAAGGGCAAGCTAGGAGAACCCTTTGATTGGTACTTGGCTGGTTCCTTGCATGTTATCATTCCTAAGAGGCCAAGAAACTCGGCTAAAATGAAGTTTCTTGAAGAGAACATTTGTTTCAACCTCAAGCAAGGGTATTTGCCAAATCAATTTCTGAGACCAGGTGTGCTTGTGTATTTCCTTGGGCTACTACGGTCTTACATAACCCCAGCTGTGACACCAGTGCTGGCAGTCATATTAGTCACAGCTTAACCCTTCAGCAGGTACTGCTCCCACTGTCTTCTTCCAAGAAGGGAAACTGAGTCATAGTTAATCAACTGGCTTCCCCAAGCACAGACTTAATACAGAGTGAGGCCCTGGCTGAACCCAGGTCGCCTTCCTTCCAGTCACTTCTCCCTGACCAATCTCAGGACGCCCACCCCTGCTGCTCCTCCTTAACCAAAAACCAATCAGGGCTGGTTCCAGGGGCTGAGATGCGCGCTCAGGATCCTTTCCAGCCTACAGGAGCTTCTAGCTCTCTTTCCCAAGGAAGGGGAAGTTGAAGAGGTAGCAGGGAAGAGAGCGGGGAAGAAGGAGGCAGGACTGGAAAGCGGTAGGTCTGGACGCAGGCTCACCTTGGAGCTGAGGTCCTCGCGCCGATTCCCCGGCTTACTCCTGCGAAGTTTGATGGACGGGGACCGCAGCAGGTTTTTGATCCGGCTGGTGATGGTTGAGCCTTCCACAGCCATCCTAGGGAGCTCCGGGAGCAGTGCCTAGCCAGGTTCTTGGGACTTGTCTCAACAGCGGCGCTGCCTTCCTCCTCGGAAGGCCCTTCCAGTCTGCCCAGTCACTGACCTGAGACAGCAGAGGCCACCTGACCTTGTGCCCAGTGAGGTCTGCAGCTCTTCTCTACAGGTACTGCCCTCTCTTCTCACTCCGGCCTTTAAGCCCTACGTGGTTTCTTACAACGTCGAAAGGCCGGACCCATTAAAAAAGGGAAAAAGGGAGCAAAAAGAGCCGAGCCGCGAATAAATGCCAGGCCTCTGTTAGAGGCGTTTAACTCAAGGGATGGGCTGAACCCGAGGACGGAGGCTGGACCGGTACGCGTTAATGCCCAGCCGTTCCCATGGCAACTGCAGTGTCCCAGGGAGGAGACCGCTGAGCAATCCCACTGGGGGTCACTAGGACGTGTGCGCGGACGGCCGGGGGGACAGCCGACGCTGGGCTCGCGGTGGCCGGGCGCCCCTTCCTGTGGCCACGGGGGCCGCCCTCCCCCACCCCGACCCTCCGGAGCACGCTGCGGGCCCTCTCCTCGAATCCAGGACCTTTTCCTTCCACCCCCGCGGGGGCCTCGGCTCCGCGTCAGCGCCCCGGCTCGGCCCCAGCCTTACCAGCCCCCGGACACCGGGACCTCCCGGCTCACAGCGCCCTCGGGCATCGCGCTCGGCGATTTCAGCTCCGCCGCGGCAGGAGCAGCGGCAGCCGCAGCTATGGTGGCACGAGCGGCTCAAAACGCGAACTACCTCCCGGGCCGAGCGCCGGGCCGGCTGGGCGGGGCCTCGGGCAGGGGGTGTGGCCTGTGCCCGCGAGGGCGGCTCGGGAGTGGAGGAGTCGGTTCCTGGAGGCGGAGCCAAGGCAAGGCCTAGGACGTAGAGAGTTGGGGATTAGAGCCCGGGTTCCGAGGAAAGCAGCCCGGCAGGGATCGCTCCGAATGTAGGTCAATAGAACATGGCTTGAGAATTGTGAGAACCAGCCTTTTATGGTATCATCAGGCCTGGTACCCTGGAGGACAGTCTTTCCCTGAGCCCCGAGGGGACGATAACCACACCCCCCCACGGGGCTACGGCCGGCGTTTGATAGGCCCAAGAGAGCCAAGCTGCAAGTAACCCCAAAACAAGATTTGAGTGCAGCGGTGAGGCTGCTTCCAACACCCAAGTGGTGGGGTGACAGCGGTCAGGGCTGTTTCTGCTAGCGACCCGGCCAGAGCACTGACCTACATGGAGATAACTCCCGAGAAAACCTTTAAGGTTTTGCACACTTTTGGTTTAAGGCGCCACAATCGGAAGGGTTCAGGGCCTACTACTCCTCAGGCCATATGGGGTGCCAGGGATCAAGCCCGGATCGCAAGCACGATTCGCTGGACTACCACTCCGGCTCCCTGAAATGTTCTTAAAAGCACTAAGAAATGTTTCAAAGGTTCAAGGACAACGGGGCAGGAGGCAACCTTGAGTCGAGGTTTTGGCGTGTAAAGACCAATGAACCCATGCGATACACTGGTTTCGCAGCATCTTTAGCCCCCAAAACTCACAGCACAGGACACTTCGTAGTTTCACATCTCTTCCTCGATCCCCCCAAACACTCGTGAATTCAATTTTCCTAGTATGGTTACTTGGCGAGGTCACTGTCACGCTTGTGGCGCTAGATTTAGTGATAGCTTAATGATGTATGTGGTGGCAAAGAACATCTTTGCTAGGCATCGCAGTCTACAGATGTATTACTAGGAACTTCACTCTCCTTCACTGTTAGAGAACTACCTAATGAAAAGGTTAACAGAAGCCATAAGAGGTTCCAGAGTACCCACTGACACATCCTGATCCAGATCTTTGAAATTCTCGGGGGAGAAGTCATGTTAGAATAGGGGCGGATGGGGCTGGAGCGATAGTACAGCAGGTACTTGCATGCAGCCGACCCGGGTTCAATTCCCAGCATCCCATATGGTCCCCCAGGCACCCCCAGGAGCAATTCCTAAGTGCAGAGCCAGGAGTAACCCCTGAGCATCAGCGGGTGTGACCCCAAAAAGAAGAAAAATAGGGGCGGATAGCCCACTTAGTTCCTTCTCATTTGTGGCCAAAATAGCTATATTGTCTATTGTATCCACATACGAAAACCAAGATCAGTGAAAGATCAGGGAGGTCATTTTCTAGAAGAGCAACTGTCAATAGTTATTAGAGGCTTGAGGCTTCCTTCCCTTAAACCATGCACTGAGATATGACAAAGACGACGATCTTGTCCTTTATTCCCCAAATCTGGAGAAAGCAGCCCTCAGCTACAATGGATGAAAACAGGCTGGCTCTTTGAACCTCTTGTCTGCTTAAAAGTAGTGCCACCTGGTGTCCTTCCTTGTGTGCTGCATTCCCCAGCAAGTGCCACGTCCAGGTTGCTAGTGTCCATTAGTGAGTGGTTTTCACACATGGCCAGATAGACTGATTTACCAAGTGCCATTCTTATTTACTGTCTAACGCTGCCCAGAGAAAACATTTTCCAAATTACTGTCAATTGGGGCTAAAATTAGAGGAAAAATCCAAGCTCTTTTGTCTAAGTGGTTTAGGTGGAAAGGGAAACAGTGTAGATGAATGGGATTTGAATACTTCCTGTCTTAGGCCAAAGCCACCTATTTCTAATTCTTCACAATTTAGACCCACCTTTACTGTATGGGTACCATGAAGTCATTGAGGAGACAAGATGGGAATGGGCTGTAGACTGTTTCCATGCTTTATGAACAGGATTCATCTCCAAATCAAGTACTTGCCACCTGCCCCACCCTTAAAAATGCAGCTGACACCCTTACATTAGTAGTTCACCATCCATGCACTATTTCACTTTTTATTCTTCTTCAATGTGTCCTAATCATGTATACAATTTTCTAGATGTCTAGATGCATACAATTGTTTTATTCTATGATCATTAATTTTAAATTTCATCCTAGACTTGACATGCAAATAGTTGCAACTTTAATTTCCTGGAACAGGTTAAAGTAAACATTTGTTCATTAAAATATTTATTGAGCACCTTTACATGCAAGGCACTGAGAGACAGCTAAGACCAATGGTTGCAGCTGGAAACAGGATAGATCTCAAAACAATACTTTCAAGACTTCTTGCTTTCTTGTTTAACAAAAGCTCTTTTAACAACAGAGTTCAAAATAAGTGTTTAATAGTTTAGATTTTTTTCAAAATTCTCCACTCATTCCATGTTCTAGCCTCTCACCCTCCCAACATACACCATCACTACTATTCAACACACATGTATGTGTATAGCAGTTTAGCAATGTCTGACATACAACTATGCCTCAGTTAAAAAGTTGTATATTAGTATAATTTCCCTTTAATATAAAAAAATTCACTCTTGGCTTTTCCCTCCTCAAAATGGCAGAATGAGTACCTCAGCTTTATTATTTTCTAATTCCACCTATTCACTTTCATGTAAAATTTCACTAAAAGATAATGACATGGAAGTACTGATGCCCTTTCAAGCACTTTCTTCAAAGTCAAGTTCTATGCAAAAAGTATATTCTGATTTTTGGTTATTAATTACTATGTAAGAACCTGAAAATGTGCTGCCTACTTTGTATTTTTTCCCCTTAAATAAGCAGGCAGTGAGGAAGGTTTATCGTCATTTTTAGACTTACCTTCAAAGTGCATTTACCTCTCAAATTACCCGTCAGTATCTTCACCAGTATAGTTCGAAGGAAAGCAAAAACAAGCCCCCTTTTACTACTACTACATGTCCAAAATAATATATGCACTGACTACTTATGTTCAAAAACCCTCCAAATCAGTTACAAAAAGGCCTACTGAAGTTTTGCTTCATAATTCTGAGGGAGAAAAGCTGTACTTACTATAAAATTAGACAAAGAAATATTAAAAGTCTTTCTAACTGGATATGATCTGTTTAGTGATCTTATGTTAAAGTCCTTTAATAAGGTTTCTTGGTTTATCTTTAGGCTGTGTGGGGGGCGGATAAATCCTCAAATTAGTCAATCTGTATCATATTCTAGGAAAACCTATAGTCTGGGGCTGGAGAGAGCATATAGAGAGAGGTAGGGTGCTTGCCATCCTGACTTCGATCCTGGAATCCTGTAAGGTCCCCTCAGCACCACCAGGAGCATCTCTAGGTGTGGCCCAAAACAAAAAACTAAAGAAAATCTATTGTTCTTAATATCTAAGAAACTGTTCATATTCTGTGGCTTATCTCCTTGTACATATTGATACTACAAGGCAGCCTCTCTCACTGTAGAACTTCTTCAGAGAAATACTTGCCACCATGTCACACAGTATTTTGAAGACTCCATGTATAAACTGCAAGGACTAGAATAACAAAATGTCTCCTCTATGATATGTCAGAAATTTTGATAACTGAAGAAAGTTCTTATGGCAAAGCAAGTTCAGCAGCATTTATCAAATAGGTCAAAGCAATGAAATTCTCTACTCCAATTCAGCATAAACCTCCCAACACCAAGTACGGAAAATACTGCTTTTGTTATTATAACTGATTTATTTCAAGTTTATACATTCTGCCTTTCAACTGCCAAGCTTCTTCTGTCCGTAGATTTCTAAAAAAATAGTCATTTTTCAAAAGCAAAAAAGAAAAGATATATATTTAATATATAAAAGAAAAAGCTAAATCTGACATAATTATATTCTTAAAAACATTCCATTTATTTACAGATGTATAAAAAGGCGAATTGTTGGTCTACTGAGATCATGCTTCTGATATACAGTTAGGGTGAGAGCTCACTATCACGCAGACACCTCCATTCCTCTCACTCAACTACATATTCCATAATCACATATATTTTTTCATAGATCAGTTTCTCCTGGAATAAGGTGAAAGGTTAAAATTTTTTTGGAGATTATAGATTTCTATGAAGACTAGAATTTTTCTGAAGACTGAGCCCTCTTCTATAAAAGCTGGCGAATCCCAAATTCTAAGAGGTTCTGTAAACACCATCATCTTATGGGGAAGGGGTATTGAAATAGTATCTGCAGTCTTCCAAGAACACTTGGAATTGTCACCTCTCATTTCCATCTTGTATTCATTGCTCATAGTCAAATATCTACCCATCAAGCATGTTTGTTTTCTTCTAAAAAAGGGAACAGTGTTCAGAAACAGAATGGTCCTTTTCCTGAGGATTATTCACTCACTCGCCTATTCCTTGGCTGACCCTCAAACACCATAGCAAGAGCCTTGGGAAGTCAGGAGGAAATGTGAGGACGAGACAAGCAAGTAAATAATGGGAAACTGCTATACTTAGATTAAAGTACTAGCATCTCCAAGGACAAATACTGGGAGGGGATATGGGTGCTGGATTCATTGGCTAAGGCATTGAATGAAATATGCTGGATTAAAAAGGAGTAGGAGGGAGATAATGAGAAGCTGAGGAGGCATCTTTTACCTACTCTCGGCTTCATTAGGTAATTCTTAGGAGAGAAGGGTGAACACTGAGCAGGTCTAGAAAGGCAAGTAGCACAATACCAACAAAAGAACTTGCTCCCAACTACAATCTGCAAAGGAAGTTTTCCCATCCTTTTCGATGTGTTGATTACCAGAGTTACTAGAACTAGACCAAACCATAGAAGTAAAAATTCACTGGCTACTATTAAGGTTGATCTCACAATCTAGTTCTAAAGATATGTTGAGTGGTACTTGGGGAAAAGGCAGGGGATGTAGAGGAAACAGCTATCACTCAGGCACAGCCCAAGGCTTGGAAGCTCTTGTGTTAAGTTTTTTGCAACACAAGCATTTCCT